ATGAAAAACGTCAGTCAGCATTTGACTCAATGGTAAACTGTATTTGCTGACAAGGTAATTGTATTGACCATAAAACTTACGAAATGATGACTTTAAACGAGACTACTGATATTCTTGTTTCACCAACTTGCTTTAAATAATTGACCTCGTTTTAGAATTTGTCTATACGTAGAGCATGCTGTTGCGAATCGAATCAGTTGAGATATATATATATACTCTGTATGCAGGTAATGAAGGTATATTGTTGCATGAGTAGGGAGCGTTGACGTTAGAAATGTTAAAGTCATCAAGTTTATCATTTAGCTTGGTCGTTAGACGCATACGAGGGGCACTTCAAAAGTTGTGGCAACTGTTTAATAAAAAAATAACCGTTTTACGGAAATTATTAAGTGTAATATCACTGGAAACATGAGAAAAATATTTTCATATTCTAACGTCACTTTATATTTTTATCATGGGTTTCCCGGCCACAGCAAAACATGAACTTCGCCATTACATGTATAACTATATGGAAGTCGGGGGTATCATTTAGTGAGCTCATCACTCACAGTACCTCTAGTTGACGATAGTCATCGGTTGTGTGCTACTCGGTCAAATGCAGAACTCTGATGCTAAGAGTTTCAAATTACTTGTCACTTATAAGATAATTTTGAAATGTGAATATCAGGGAAAACTGTTTACATAAAAAGTACAATAAAGAAACTGTATGAATGAAGATATCTGAGGAGTTATTGCCATTGTAATTTTTTTAAGATAGAAAAATTTATTAAATTATGAAAATGTACATTCCTTACTATTTCTATTACTTGACAATATTTGTCTTTACACCTATTGTAACGCATTCTTTCAAAACAAGTTTGTTCGGTTGCGTATGATTTAAAATTAATAACAGTTTTTTTTTTCAAAAACCTATGACTTCACAGGAGGGTGGAAATAACATGTACAAATAGTTTTTGATAATTTACAACGAGATACAAAACAAATATTTAAGAAACATGTCGTCAGATCTTAATATCTTCACGAGTAAGGAACAAAAATCAAATTTCTATCTTTAATAAGGTTTCCTTTGCCAGTTCACTGAATTATTATGATTTACTTTGAATAAAGGGAACATTTTGAACTTTGAGTTTTTTTTTTCGAGAAAAAAATTTATTATCTCTGAAGGATGATCTAAGTTTTTTTTGTTATTAAAACTACTTGGACCAATTTGTTTAATATTTATGCTACTGAGAAATGTCAGGAGCCTTATTCTTTTTTTCAATTAAAAATATGATCTTCTTTTCCTATTTCTATGTATTTTTTTTTAGAAGTTTGATGTTCATTTCAATATTCTTCCTACATTCTTTTGAGAACCTAAGTTTGAGTAACAGGAAAGATATTAATGGAAGATTGGTAGTAATATTATTCACAAACTATATTTGATTGAGTGTAAGCAGGGGTATTTTTTTTATTTGTTTAAAAACCAGAAAAGTAAAAAAAAAAGAAAAAAACGTTTTCATAAGGAAACATAAAGGAGGAAGGATATTGCAAAAAACAAGACTTACAAGGTTTAACTAAAAATTGTTAGTTCTCATATTTCCGTCCTTTCATATTTCTTCAATCTTTTGTTTTGTTACGTTCAAGTTCAAACTTGCTGGGTTTTTTTTCGGGGTCCATTGCCTGCAAGTTATTCATAAAGCGGTTAAATTAGGAACTTGACGTGAGATTTAGTTCCATATGTAGATGTATAGTAACATAATTTAATTCCACCGAAAAGCCATAGACTGATGCTCATCTAAGTTTAAAAAAAAAAGAATTTAATCTTTTAACAGTTTAAATAAAGAATAATAAAATATTTTCAGGAAATAACTTTAAACTCTTCAATTATACATTTTTATTATATGCAAACGATGTGATGTCTTGCTCACAGTGTCATTCAATATATTCTTCTTCGGTGTGAAGGACCTTTTAAATAACATAATTCGCCCTTATGAATAATAAAAATATATAAATATATAAAATAATTTAATGTATATTTCAGAACATGCACAACACATTTCACTGCAAAAAACAGATTTTTGTGCAACCAGCATGGTATAACAGTTCTCTATAAAGTTCACGAGTGATAAATTGATAATTTTCTTCTAAAAAATCTACCGCCACGAAAAATAATCCCTGGCTTAACCCTTCTTCAATGGAATTTAATTGCGGGTTTTTTTTTCAATGGATATAGTTTAATTTGCAATGTAGAATCTAAATTCAAAGTTGCAACTTAAAAACGATGCAGAATTTTAAAGATAAACGTCCAGACCAAAATAGACTCAAATGCACAGGATCGAACGTTCTTAAAAAACACATTCTGCTTGACATATTAATGTTTATTACGTACTTTGACGAGCCATTCCGTCATCCGTAAGCTTCATTGATAAAGCTGGGTCATTTCCAACAGTCCAGACCTGTATCAATCGCCTCATATTCCCAACTACCACTCTTAATCAAGATTTTTAGAGTTAACAAGTACTCTATAACAGATTAATTTTAATGAACTATGCTGTCAATGCACTCTGAGAGTTTTCATTATTCTCCGTGCTGCTGATTTCGTAAAATTAGATTTGTAGCTCTTATTAAGTTGATTGTTGCTCAGTTTTCTACATCTGGTATAGAAATTGACCTGTTTACTTATATTTACCTTTACTAAGTATTCTAGACATAATTAATGAAAATTTTTATTTTCTTTTATGCATAGGTGTATTATGTACTATTTAGTTACGAGGGTTGTCCAAAAAGTTAGTGGACATTGACGTTTTTATTGAAATATATGGTTTTATATATATATATATTCTTTATCATTTGTGTATCAAAATATACTTTTATGAAAAAACAAGTCAGATAGATTTCATTTTATTGATGTAGCTTCATATGTTTTGTAAAAATCGAAGTCTTTAAAGGTCACGGAAAGTGTACACTGACCAAGGTTGATATGCCATAAACTTTAAAATGAAGTGTTTGGATTAAAATGAGTATTTTTTATTGAAAACTAGAGGTATTGTGAGCAATGAGCTCACTAAATAATACCCCCTGCCTACCATATGAATATAATGACAGCATCCATGTTTTGCTCTGGAAAATCGAAAATACATTTCAGATCAAAATAGGAAATTAGAGGTGCACAATGGCAATAAGTAATAAATTCTATGATTCTTTAAAAGTTTCAAAAAAATTTCTTCAGTGAGTTGCGGATAAGAGTTGGGTACCCCAAAGAGTAGCAGACGGACGGACGGACATATCGATTACTATATTCCCTCCCACTTTTCAAGCGGGGGGTAGGGGGTATAACAAGTCAAAGCTTAATAAAAATCATATGTAACACAAATAAAGAGGCTATGATAAGTTTATGATATCTTACGTATTTGTTACTACATAGACAGTGGACAAACAGAACAAAAACCCTAACGAATATGTGTCAAAACTGGACAGAAAAAAGCGACGTCGGCAGCGTCCGACCAAAAAATTATGTTTTAATAAACTTGAAACAAGTCAGTAACAAAATATTTGTTCAAAAAACTCAAAGTTATTAGAGTATATTTAGTTTATTGATTTGAGATAGATACAGTCGATTTTTCAACGGTGTGTACAAAATTGAAGATACTACAAGGATGTGAAAACACAAGATATTTCATGAAATTCGATATTTCTGTTCATGACGTTGTTATAAATTTTTAGTGTAACATCGGACTGAAGTGTGCAGCCTGTGTATACGAATAGGTAATATTAATGACGCTCATAAATTATAATGCATTGTTTTGAATTTTAAAAATGAAATATTTTATAATTTATAATTAAAGATAATTGCTATCACTTTGCAGCATAACATAATAATAGAAATGTAGTGTGTGTCCATGAATATGTATTAAAAAATTCAGTATCCAAATGTTCGACGTTATAATGAATTTGCTTAACATCAGACCCCATGCGCATAATCCACGACCTTTAAAAACCCAGATTTTTACAAAAATGTAAAGCTCCATAAATAAAAATTAATCTTTCCGAATTGATTTTTCATAAGAAATATTTTGAAAAACATTAAATATATATAAAACCATTTCTTTTAACAAAAACGTCATTGTCCAGGAACTTTTTGGACAACCCTCGTACATTACATCATTTATATGTGGGCTTCAAAGGTCAAACATAACTAAAGTACCAGTAAGTTTTAAATGTCCAACAGTATCTGTAATTGTTTTGGAAGAACTGAATGTACAAATATGAGCTTGAATCATTTTATAATCTTAACTAAGCTGAAACACTAGTGCGTTTTTATGGCCGTAGGAAACGGTGGTTGGGAGGGGGGCACGGGGAGGGGGTGCTACCCCAGATAATTTTGCCAATTTATAGAATCCTCTTTTTTCCTTAGCTTGTCAAGGAATATTTGGTGGTTGATAGTGCCACCTCTGAAAATCTAGGCTGTGCCTCCGAACCCCAAAACTGAAATCGCTTCCTACGAGCCGGGTTTTCTATTCATCTGTCGTCCGACACGTCCTCAATGTCTCATATTTTCTTTTGATATTGTTAAAGTTCAAAATCAACATGAATATGTCAAGCAGAGGACTTTTGTAAGACGCTGTCATTTTTGTCATTTGATAATTTCTATGCACATAAAGCTACAAAAGTTTCTGTGTATTATGTACTTGGAGAACTTGTCAATTGATATACATGAGCATTTACCAGCATAGGTTTTTGTGTTGTGTGTGTGCTAAATTGTTAAATTTTACATGTACAGAAGACAGCAAATTAAGGTGTGAAGCTACGGGTGCTATCGGCCTTCGTAAAATTTTCCAAGAAGGTCTATAAAAGACATTTTCAAAATATATTTTTAGTAGATGACTTTTAAGTGCGTGCATTAAACGTCCTCTTTCTCAGATAACAAAAATAAAGCTTTGTACTTGTGAGATAGAGACATATTTAAAGTCGCACAAAAATAATTCCCTTTTGTATCCTTTTTACTACTCAGTAGATCCACTTGCTATTCATCAGTAAAAGGACCTTGTCTCATGATGCCTATGTGCAAGATGTTGTGGTTCCTGGTTTGTGCAATTGGTTCTATCTATGGATATAGTAAGTTTTAAGTATGTTTTTGGAAATAAAATAAATCTCCTAAAATAGGTTTTAGAAACAAACGTGCCAAAGCTATTACATTCTTATCTGTTTCAATTAACTATTGTTGGAATTGAATTAAATAAAATTCTTAACAAATATCTGATTCTTAATAATAATTATTGAAATTTTTTTTGGCTTTTGTGTACGTCAAAAGATTAAAATCTGCAATTTCAAAAAAAAAAAAATAAATTAACATTCCATTCAACCAACGTAAGTTCGATTGATTGATTGATTGTAACTTGTTTAACGTTCCTCCGGAGAATTTTTCACTCATATCGAGACGTCACCATATGCCGGCGAAGGTTTAAATTTTGACCTGTACTCGGCACTCAGGGACATTGAGCAGTGAGTGATCTTTATCGTGCCAACGCACGTCGTGACACGGGACCTCGGTTTTTAAGGTCTTATTTGAAGGACCCGTAACTTTCACTTCAACTGCCGAGCGCATGGCGAATGAGCAGTTGCTACCCATTTTTTTTTTTATCGACTTAGGTCTGTCGCGGCCGAGATACGAACTCAGGACCTCCCGATCACGAAGCGAGCGCTCTACCGACTGAGATACCGTGAACGGTATGTAATTTGGGGCGAATGTCCCCACCCCTACCCTGCTTCTAACGGCCATAAGTTGCACCATATATATCTGAAATTTTTGGATTAGCCATTGAAATACTCTGTACTTGATTAAGTTTTATTCTACCCTCGATAGTAAAGGTACATTGGAAAGAGATACATGGTCGGCAGATATACCTGAAGATGAAATATCCCTCTGCTCCTAATTTCAACATTTTTTGTTTAATTTCTCAAAAAAAAAAACGATTTTCCTAAACAACAATAGCATTAGATTCAAATGGAAAATTGTTTGTTGTATAACGCGTTATTTACCTTTTAAAGAAATGAATATGTAGAGGATATTCAATGTTTCGTAGTTGAATATGGAATTATTTCACGAGTGGGACAGGATTTTTGATATTTTCACGAGTGCGAAGCACGAGTGAAAATATCAAAAAATCCTGTCTCACGAGTGAAATAAATTCATATTCAACTACAAAACAATTAATTTTCTATTTATTACATTAAAAAAAAAAATTCTTTGATTTTTCCTTTGCATCCTGTCTTTTTGTAATACAGTCATAGTGTAGGCTCGTGACGTCATAGTTGAGCGGTTGAGACGTCATAGCTAAGTGAGATGAAAACACTGTAAACATGGATTTTGGTAATTTTGACAGTTTGATTCGCTGTCAGAATGGTTTATTTATTTTCATCTATCTTATATTAGGCCAAGGAAGATTTTTTTTGTAGCAATCTTCGTTATGGGAAGGGAAATCGAGAGTTTTCCCGCACTTCTGATATTCGTCACACTGTGACAGGATATCATTTTGATATCCTTTCACACTGTGACAGGATATAATATTTATTCAATGAATAAATTACAGTATTTCACCTGTAAAAATGTAATAATATGTCTTATCATGATATGAAGACAATTTCTATATGGTCAATATAAAGATCAATAAGTTTTTATCTCACAATAAAATTATAAATATGAGGTGTATATGAAAATGACATTTACCATCATACCTATCTTATTCTCAACAGAAAGCATAAGGAAGCGTTGCTTTTTAAATCATAATATCAAATTGATTTATGTGATTGTAAAATAACGTGCATCCATCAATAACAGTTATCTTTCCATTATCGCCCTTGAAAATAATTTCAGTGAAAGAAAATATTAAAGCAATGTTAATAAACAATCCTGCCCCTGAAATTTCTGTAACAATGGGATTTCACACAGGAACTGATTATAAATGTTTTAGGTAAACTATTATAAATAATCAATAAAAATACTGGTAAAAGAGACCAGAAAACACCATCTCTACGATAGAACAAATTTGATTAAGTTGACCATAAAATGGTCTTCTTCGATGAATTCTGTAAAATCTGGCAACATGATTCATTAAATGTCATTAAAAATAGTCCTCATAAAGTTATCTCTCCCTTATTTTTGGAAAATTAAAACTGCCAGTTTAACATCAGAGTCTAAGATGTAAATACATGCACAATCATTCCTCTCGATAAACAAATTATCTTTGTGATATCATAGCCAACTGCCTCTTCAATAAGAAAAAAAAAAGTTAAAGAAAAATTATATTTTGTGATTGTTCATCAATATAGACTTAATTAAGAAGATTCATCCTTTAAAATAATCTGATTCTACATACAAGAACAGAGTCTCCCAAAAACTGTTGGAAATTTAGATCTACCCTATCTGTTCTTATTTTATCTCTAATACATATATGTGTAAAATTTTACATTGTAGACGTTATGATAAAATATTCAAAGAACCCAAGTTAGATAATCAAAAATATTGATTGAGACACATAGCTCTTTTTGTTCGTAATAAATAATCATATTTTAAACTAAGTTACAAATGAAAGCAATTGCTCTGATCTTCCGTCCTGGTTTTTATAGTCTTGTGAACTACATATTACTAAAAACGAAGCTTTTCGATTGTGTTGCTCAATATACCTGCGATATGGTTGTAAAATCTTGTCACGAATTCATAAAATAACCCAAAATAATGATGATCTACTATCATTTGTAATTCAGTAAATTGATGAATTTTTACACCATAAAGATATCGAAGTTTGACATAATGTGATATTGGAAAACACAATACTTGTATGAATAAAGAACTGCAGAAAGTTAGAAAAGGGTGATAACTTTTAACGTTCATAAGCTCTTAAATAAAAAAAATATCTGTATTTGTATTCATATTTAGTAAATCTAGCTCTCCATAAACCAACGGAACAATCAGACGAATATAATTCATGGGAAGGTAAATATCAATCCGATAAAGCAGTTGACGGCCAAAAGACAAATCTCAGCTTTGCTGGACTACAATGCACAATATCTAAGGATAATCAAACAACCGCTTATTGGTGGGTTGATTTGGAAACTATCCACAGTATACACGATATCAGAATTTACTACAGGACTGAAAATACACTATGGAGTAAGTAATTGCTCAGGGAATTATATATTCTCCGTACACGATTTTTTTTAAAAGTCTTGCTTTATGTTGAGTTTACATTTTAAATCATTTTAATCAAATTTGTTTTTTATGGCAGATGCATCAAATGGCTACACAGCAAGATTTCTAGGATTTTCTGTTTTTGTATCCAACACAACGAGTACACCTGGAGGTCGTCTTTGTTTTCATGAAACAAATTTTAGCAGAGCCACGATACCAGCTGTCTTCAATATAACGTGTCCTGTACATGGACAATACGTGATCTATTATAATGAGAGACCACAGAAGTCACATAGTTATTCCAATGAATTGTCCGGATGGGCACATAATGAATTGTGCGAAGTGGAAGTTAATGGTTAGTGTAAATACTAAGACTATTTATACGAAGAATTCTAATGATATTTTTTGTGGAAAAAGTACACGCTACGTTTGTGTGCAATATGTAATTGGGGGAATTCACAAAGCGCTCTAATATTTTTAATTTCATTTTAGTACATGTAGTCATCTAATCTCTTGTTAAGACCTATACTAACTTTGCGTCATCGTTTACAGGATGCAAAAAGCTTGGTGTCTATGGATCTAATTGTTCCATTAAATGCCCTTACAAAAACTGTCGTTATTGTCATATAGAGACGGGAAGCTGTCAAGGATGTAAACCGGGATATCAGGGTCATCGATGTACATTGCGTAAGTGAAAAAAAATCTGTTTCGGATTTTTTTTTTTATTTTATACAATATTTATAACGATGAAGGTCTGATTACTGCATATCTTAAACCATTCTTGTTTTGATATCCAAGACTGAACCAAAAATTTCAGATAAGAGAAAAGTAATATTCATAACATTATTATGATTAAAGTGATTCAGATGTTTATACAACATTATGTCACCAAAGACAATACAAGTCGAATCGTGACTTTGCATTTTGTTCTTTGGAGATCGCCTTAGTACATACTGTCACATGTAAAAATATGTAACGGTGACGACAGTATGAGAGGGCGGGTATATATCGTCGCCATAGCGATAAGTGTACAGTTATCATTATTGCAAATGGTCGGATACTTTCAAGTACATTCCAGAGATATCATTTTGGAAAAAAAATATTGGCAATTAAATGTATTTTATTTTGTTTTGTCTTTTCCATAAGTTGCTTTTCAAGTTTAATCATTCATTCAGGTGGGTTCAAATAACATAACTCATAATATACATTATATTTTGTTTTCATTTATCAATGTTTCTAATAGATTGATTCAATCGATTGAGTATTGAGAAGAAATGCTCTTAAACTTGTATAAACATACCTTGTTCAATGTTATATAAGTATTTTTTTTATTTTATCTAAACATAATTGCCTGTATGAACATTTTTTTTTTATTTTAAATTAAAAGAATTGCTACATGTAACAGGTAGTAAATACATACTTCCACTGCATGTATATAATGATTTGCAAAACATGGTTTTTACTCTGTTTTCAACATCAGCTTGTAGTCCTTTTTCCTACGGAGAGGCATGTAAGGAAAAATGCGGAAACTGTAGTGGGAGCAGTGCATGTCATCATATCAGCGGAAACTGTAAAGACGGGTGTGGGGTCGGTGTTTATGGAGATAAATGCAAAACAAGTAGGTTAATTAAAATATTTAAGAAAACTATGATCATGATGAACTTTAATCGTTTTTTGGCTCTTGTGTAATGATTACTCCAAAAATGTAAACATATGCATTTTTTCTTTGATATCTTTAGATAATTTTGATATTTTAACACAGAGAATATTGTTTCAAATCAATTTTGAATTTCATGATACTAATAAATTTAAAATGTAACATAACTGATGCAGGTTTGGAAGACAAAACATATATATCCGAGGAGAAATAAATTGGAAAAATAACAAGCATTCGTCATAAAAAAATGAAATGTTAATTAAATATTTTTTCCTTTGCGAAATTCTATCTTTTATGGTTATTTCTATGAAATAATAACATCGTCTTGTCACATTTTTCTTTCCCTCTCCCTTTTTATGGTATTTTACTCCAGTATGTATTTTGCATCGATATTTGAATAAATTATTATGTATTTTAACTCCAATGAAAAGAGTTCCAGTTTGTTTATTTAAAAAAAAATCATGTGCTATATCATTTGCTTTATTTAGCGTGTCCATTTGGTTGGCATGGGAAGAACTGTTCTGATAAATGCAGTAACTGTGATAGATGTGACCGATTCACAGGACGGTGTACGTCTCCGTGTCACGTAGGCTGGAAAGGACAATTTTGTACCGATGGTATAGAATGTCAACATTTAAAATAATGTTAAATTGATTTTTTTTTAATTTCTTCTTACTGGACAATTTAACATACGAAAAATCATGAATGACATTGTATTATTTTGGATAACATTTGTTTAGGATTTATCAGTTCAATCTATCAGAGGACAGAATATTATTACTTTGTTACAAAGAATACGTACAAAAAATGTGTGTTCCCTTTTCCTTATATAAATATTTTTGCCTTTTTGCGAATAGCGTGTGATGAAGGAATGTTTGGACGGGACTGTGCAGAGAAATGTGGAGCCTGTCTGGGATATAAACAATGTAATCACATCAATGGTTCTTGTATTCAAGGCTGCGACGCAGGATACAAGGGAGAACTTTGCGAAAACAGTACAGAGACATTCATATTCTGTCATTACTTATGTTAATCTATTTTGTTTTGAGCATATGAAAAGGGTCGTTTATTTCCTCAATAAATGAACAATGATAATTAAATATACTTTCATTAAAATATGTTCTAAAATTTGACTACAGAATGTTTACAAGGAACTTATGGTAAGAACTGTGAAGATAAATGCAGTATAAATTGCGGTATACCCGATACATGTAACTGGATAAATGGAAGTTGTACTGGAGGGTGTAAGCCTGGTTGGGAGCCTCCACAATGCAATACAAGTAAAGTATTTTTTCACTAAAGAGGTGATGGTTTTGTTCTTTGTCGCCTTTAACTAGTTTCAAATCAATGTATTCCTCACAAATGTTTCTATTTATATTTGGGGTAATAAACATAAAAGAAAATATTAACCTTAGCAAAGATTCTATAAACTTAGGTATATGTAATTGAATTTTATTTTTGAAAATGTCCACAGTACGTTAAAGGAAAATATTTCCATAATCAGCTAATTTTACTTTCTTCATTTTAAAACAAAAATTTATTAAAAGAAATCAGAAAAAAAAAACTTAATGCTGGATGTACAGCTACACATCGAACTTGGTGAACAAATTTAGTTGAGAGAAAAAACAGCTTCATGCCGATCTGTGACTGGAACCAATCCTGTGAATGTTCGAATTCAGACCATTTCATATACATTGTCAAAATTGCCAGGTTCCATTCTTTTATTTACAATACATGTATTGCTTTTTTAAATTTTCAAAGGAACATGTGTATTCTAACAAATATTATGCATGCAAATAAACATTTATTTTATCCTTATTAGTCCACCTACCGATGAAACCAGAAGGGAATATATGTTTTTCTGTGAATCCGTCCGTTCGTGCGTCCGTCCGTCCGTCTGTCTGTCTACCCCGTTTTGTTTTCCGGTCGTTTTTTTCCTGAAAACTTGTAGATATTGAGTTGAGTTTTGGTGTGTAAGTGTATTTGATGAAGGACAAGTCAAATTTAAATGTGTTCCGCATTTCATTTTGAGGGAATGATATCCTTTTTTTTTGATTTCAAAAAGTTTTTGTTCCCTTAACGCTTGTCGGTATTAAGCTGATGTTCGGTGTTTGAGTATATCTTGATGAATTACAGATTAAGTTTGTATTATTTTCCACTTCTATGATTTTTTTGACGGAGTTATGGTATTTTCAATAGGAATTTGACTATGCTTGCTGGTAATTATGCAATACTCTCAGAATAAAAGTTAAAGAACAAAGAATTAAATATGAGGTTTGTCCAAAAAGTTCGTGGACAATGACTTTTTCTTGTGAAAATGAAAGGTTCTATATGCATCTATTGTATATAAAAATATTTCTTATTAAAAAAAATTAGAATGATTAACTTTTTTTGATGGAACGTAATATTTTTGTATCGGGGTATTTAAAGGTCGCTGATAGTGCGCACGGACCAAGGTTAAAATGACATAAACTCTTATATAAAGTGTTTGGATTAGAATGATTATTTTCTATTTAAGACAAGTCAAGAATTAATAAAAAAAAATTATGTAACACAAATAAAGAGGCTATAATCATTTTATAATGTCTTAAGTATCGCTTACTATATAGACAATACAAATACAAATGCTAAACAAAAACCCTAACAAACATATGTCAAATCTCGACAAAAAAAGCGAGGTCGGCCGTCCGCACAGGGCAGCGTCCGATCAAAAAAAAAAAAGAAGTTTTATACGGTTGAAGCCACGTAAAGACAAAATATTTGTTAAAACAACTCAAAATTATTGAAATATATTTAGTGCATAAATTTCAGAATAGAATATGCGATTTTTTCAACGGTGTGTACAAATTCGAAGACACTATGAGATTTTTAAACACATGTAATTTACTGAAAATGGGGATTTCTATTCATGACGTAGCGCAGCGTCGGATCGGGCTGTGCAGTTTGTGTCTACAAACTGTTTATTTAGATGACGCTCGTAAATTTTTGTGCATTGTTTTGAATATTAAAAAATACATAAACTATAATCTATACTAAAAGATTATTGCTAGCACTTAGAAGTGCGTTGCACCTTAAAAAAACGTAGTGTGTGTCCATGAACATGTGTTAAGTCAAAATCCAAATGTTTAACGTTATAATGAAATTATCTTAACGTCAGACTGGTCCGTGCGCACAATCTCCGATCTTTAAAGACCCCGATTTTTACAAAAATATTAAATTTCATCAATAAAAATCAAACCATTCTGACTTGGTTTTTAATAAGAAATATTTTGATATATAATAGATGCATATAGAACTATTTATTTTTACAAAAACCTCAATGTCCACGAACTTTTTGGACAACCCTCGTAAGGATGTAAAACGAAAAATAAATGAACAGCAAAAAAAAAAAAAAAAAAAAAAAAAAAAAAAAACTGAAAACCCTTGGCTTTATTATTTTGCATTAAGATGAATCTAACAGGAAGAATAGAATATATTTTTGTACGTAACAAATTAAAAAAAAGCATGTTATGTCCATAAGATCCCCTTTTTTGTTTTCGTTTTAATTAGGATGTACCAAAAAGAAGTATGGAATTAACTGTAGTCAGCCTTGTGGTAACTGTCGAAATTCTTCTAAATGCGACCACGTCAATGGAAGATGCCCAAATGGATGCGAAAAGGGATTCAAAGAACAGAACTGCAATCGGGGTTTGAATACCTTTCTGTTGTTTATTTGATGAAAAAAATATTATATATAGAAAATATATATACATTTTTTTTGAAAATAAGGATTGTACAATCAATCTTATCCATAAGGGTTTTTTTGGCATCTGCTGTTTGTTTAACACGTTAAAATTACGTGAAAGAGTCTTTTAATGACAAATCTTGAGGTAGAAAACAATGATGTACATACAAATATGAAATCAAAGTGCGAATGGAGGAATAACTTCGGTGTTTCATTTAGTCTTTTCATTATTCCTCAATTAAGAGATTCTCTCGATCTTTCCTTCATTTTTGATAATGCAAGAGAAACCAGCGATTCTCGGATAAAAAGTGTCGTTGCGCAAATTATATTTGCTTTGGATTGTTAATTAAATTTGTTTGCCATGTTTCGCTAAAAAAATCATTTAATATCTTTTGCATAAACATGCATGTAATATAAAATGGTGCACTGTAGGCCAGATTATTGGATATGACTGCAGATCATGCAAAGTGTTAAAGTAGACATTCGCAAATCATGAAAAAAATGCAGTAAGTTTTGATATAATCGATAGGCATCGGGATGCTTTATCTATGATGATCAGTATTAAAGAAACTTTTAAACTCCATGTATTTATATTGATTTTCAGGTTGTAGTTTTGATACTTTTGGGTTTGATTGCATGGAAAACTGTAGCACAAGCTGTGTTAACAAGACATGTGACTCTGTCAGTGGGTATTGTCCTAAGATTAAGGTAATATATATTTGAATATTCCTTAATTTTTCTTCTCTCAGTGGATTAATTTGAGAAAAACATCTTCGGGGTATTATTTTAAACTCTCTATTCGATTCAATTCTTTAAATATCTAAATAAACAAAATTATTACAACCCTTTCTCCTTATACCTGTAATAAAGGTCTCAATTTATTTTTTGAAGACTTGAATAGCATATGAAAAATGTTGATGCCTACAATTGAAGTATACTTTACCCGAAACTGGTACTTTCTCTCTCAAAGAATTGTTGCTTAAACGTGCTGAAACGTTAAAATTTGATAAAGGTTTTGTGAATATATAAATGTATTAAACATCTTTCAGTTTACCTCAACGACGTTCATAAGTTACATGCTTGGTTCAGTCATTGGAGGAATCTCTGGACTCGTTATTGCCTGTATTCTTATAGTGGTTCTAATTCTGGTCTTCAGAAGGTAATTTTTTCATTCAATTTAAAATCGTTTCGCAGAAGTTCACAACACCTTTCATTAGCATTCATTTACTAAGGGTACCATCATTGGCAGACTTTCTGGACTTTTAATTCCTTGTATCCTTAAAGTGGTTCTAAGTCTTATCTTAAAAACATCAAGGCTACAGTTGACCGCGAAGCGCAATGTTTAGAACGTATGCGAAATATGGCGTTTATCCTTACGTAACGGGATCGAATCCGACTGTAGGACGTGGACACCGGTCCTTCGAATGAGACCGTGTAGACTGAGGTCCCGTGTCACAGTATGTGCTGGCACAAAAAAGATGCCTCCCTGCTCAGTTGCCCTGAGTGCCGAGTATAGGACAGAATTTGCAGCTCTCCACTGGTAATATTGGAGTCTCCATATGAATAAAAATTCTCGAGAGGGACATTAAACAATAAACAATTAATTAATATCGGTAACAGTCCCTGAAACTTTCTATTTTTCCATCTGAACGGTTAACGAACGATGAACGAACGATAACGAACGCAGAGCTAACGTTGACTGAACGATGTGTGAAAGGTGATTTCAACTTGGTTAACGATGTGTGAACGGTGAACGAACGCAAACGCAAACGCAAATTGAACGGTGAACGAACGGTGAACACAAGATGAACGATTTATTCGGAATGCCTCCGATTGTTCCTTGCATTGAAACTATTCTATTATATTCTAATATCAGATGCTTAAATATAAGTAAACAATGAATAAATTAATAAAGTAATTAGTAATATGATTAAATCATTTTTTTCTGTACATACGTATGATGTGTTAAATCAATATTTTAATGACGCGATCTTATTTCTGCAAAACATGTGTAATTGTATTCGAACGCGTGTCGTATGAAAGATAAAATTTTTCTATTTATATAAAAAAGTATGTTTATTCTTTTAACTATTAAAATAATGTGGACTGTAGAAGAGGAAACAACTACATTGTACTTAAAAATAAATTAGTGAACACGGTTGTAACAACCACACATATATTTCTGTGCCAAGGCGACCGCGGGTAGAATAACGATTACCATTTTTTTTTTTTTAAAGGTCCGTTGAGGACTCAGGTTATGCAAAAATGCATTCATATTTTAAAATTTTAATGCAATTACATAATAAAATTATATTATTAATTGTGTGTGTAAATTTTATTTTTATGATATTTTTTTAGCAAACGTTTATCCATAATTATATCTGTAGATATTTACCGGCCGTGATTATACTCGTACAAATTGATGGAGAGAAGCATTCTAATTTTTGTAACAGATTTGATTTTCATAACTTAATAAATAATATGCTGCATTAGTTTTTATTGATCAAACAAATGCAATAGAGAGGGAATGAGAGAGAGAGAGAGAGAGAGAGAGAGAGAGAGAGGGGAGAGATTTAAGCCCCCGACATTATCAGATAACAGAAGATTCTTATTATTGTTTTTACAGGTACATTTTCAAGGCAGTGAAAGTAATCTTTTTTTTGAGAAGAATAACAAATCCATTTAACAGAAATTATCAATAGAAAAAATCTTAATAAATGTATTATTTTTTTAAATATTGGCTTTTTAAAAAAGAAACACATTATCAAATTAATTTGCTCTAAAAATGAACTGAATACAAAAAACATCAGTATTGGACTAAAAAACCAATATGGCGATATGATGTTTGTCGAAAACAACTGAGCTTTTGTTTACATTATTATGAAAAACATTTTATGCTCCAGGTGCAGCCTACATGATGATGGAAGAAGAACAATTCAAGGACCTAATCAGTGTAGGTGTCTGGATTTTTTTATCTATCTATTATCAATTTGATTGGAGTAGCTTACTAATTTTTTGAAATTTATTTCAGCCGTGAAAGAAAATAGTGATAGAGATTATTCAATTGATTCAAAACATCATCCCTCAACTGAATATAGAGGAAGCAAACAAAGAGGTAGCGGGAAAGGGATCAATTTCAAGCGCAAGATCAAAGGTGATGAGGCAGATGTGGATGAAGATGAACTGATTCACTCGGAGAACCCTTATGGAGACTTTTATGCAAATGAAACAACAATTCGAGACACACCTCTTAATCAACTGGAGTCGGTTATAGCTGAGAAAAGAAAGGATAAAGATGACGGGTTTCAAAGAGAATACGCTGTGATTATATCTTTTTGTATTGATAAAGTTCATAATGATATAACGATTTATTAATTTCATTTGTAATTCCACTTATTATAGTCCATGTCAATCTTAATTGGTAAGGTCTAAATGAATTTAGAAGTCGTATATGGAGGGTATGGTTTTATTTATTTTTGATTTATTGCAGACTTTGCCATACGGGGAATTATACAAATGTGATGATGGAAAAAGAGAGGAAAATATGGTTAAAAACAGATACAAAACTACGTTCCCCTGTAAGAGCTTAGAAATGCGTAAATCATATAAATTGCCTTAGGATGTAACCCTTCCGTCGCTACTTTAACGTTCTTATTTTTGTCTTTAGTATAAGGAGTTGTAAACATTTTTTTAATACATTGAACAATTTCGTATTTAGTACATGTCCAGAATTATAAAGAAGTTAAACTTTTTAATGCAGTTTTTTTTCTCTATGAAATGATCTTGTTGGAATGGCCTATGGATTTGGTTACTGTTCATTGTTTTTTTTATTAAAAGTCCTTAGCTTTACACTATGAGGTGTAACTGTGTGGAAACGATTTTGGACATTTAAACTGTCATTGAGTCTTCGAAAACAATATATATGAAGTCCATAGTTTTTTTTTAGTTTGAAGATTTGAAGATTCTATTTGTGTATATAAATGATTTTAGATAACTAATATTACTTTCATTTTTTTATTGAGATGATCATTCTAGAGTAAAATTGAGAACAAATTCAGGATCTGACTACATCAACGCAAACTATATTGAGGTAAACACAACCGTCATATACTTACTATTTGATTCTTGAATACTACTGGAATATTGCATTAATTTGTGGACTTTGATATTAAATACTGTTCGATATCGCCATATCCTTCCTTCATGTATTTCCTTTCATTAAATGAAATCGATCTTTTGATGTAATTTTGTTTCAAGTTAATTTTCTTAAGCAAAAACATAATCTAAGAATCATTGTAACAAGCATGTAAATATAACGTGTTTTTCTTCGTATTAAAGTTTTCAGATTTTCTTCGTATTAAATAGGGTGCAGAGTGGGAGAGAGAGTACATAGCAGCACAAGGTACACGTGGGCTATATCTTGCAACACTCGTATTTATTAGCAACCTATAGGTATTTTAAAAAATACAAATTTTGTATTGAGAATAAGGACATTTTGCAGGTCAGCTTGAATTTACTTCACATAGGACCGTTGAGGAACACCGGTTCTAAAATTTCACTACTTTAATAAACAAGTATATTTGAATGAAATTGTTGCGTTTCTAACCATTCTATATGTTTCCTTTAAAGGTCCAAAGCAAAATACACTTGGAGATTTTTGGACGATGATCTGGCAAGAAAATGTGACATCTATTGTAATGGTGACGAACTTAAAAGAAGGAACTAAAGTGTGTATTTTGTAGCGAAATTCATCTCTCACACAAATATATATTTCCATAAAATGTTTGGTTTCGTCATGAAATGCTTTGTTATATTATCGTTGAACTGAGATCATAATTGGGTTTGCCCAATCAAGTTTACATATTAACGTGCAATATTGTATTTGTTAAAGGTGAAATGCAACCAGTATTGGCCAGAGGCAAATAAAACAACCGATTTCGGTGCGGTTTCTGTAAAGTTGATAGAAGAAAAACAGTATGCATTTTATATCGTGCGACGGATGAGTGCTATGAACAATGAAGTAAGATTTAAAAAAAAGAACACTCAAGAATGTATTTGTGCATTAAACATAAAACTTGACTTCGTTTTTTTTTTACTTTTTTAATTTTTTTTTTAGGTTCTACTTTGTAACTTTTTTTCTCATTTTTTTTTACTTTGTTTTTCGTCCCATCTTCTGTTTAAAAAAAGATGTTATCTCATTCTTTACAATAGTCAAAGGAATCCCGAACGGTGACACAATTCCATTACACGGCCTGGCCAGACCACGGAACTCCTGAACCTCTCTGTCTTGTTGTCTTCCTAGATCACGTGACCAGAACAGGATCAAATCAAAATAACTCTCCAATAATCGTACATTGCAGGTGCTAATCTTAGATTCAATAGTGGAAACAGGTTTCTAAAACAAAACCCTCAATTATGGGAGATCAGAAAATTGACCTTACATATATGAAAAGTTAATGAGTTCATATTAATTATGTAAATATATTTTTTCATGTAATGATCAGAAAATTGCCATTGAATTTATAGCATATAACTGATTTCATTTTACTTATGCAATTTTATTATTATTATTATTATTATAGTGCAGGAATTGGAAGAACTGGGACATATATAGCCCTGGACGCATTGAAAAGAATTGGGCAAAAACGAAAGAAAATAAACGTAGCAGAGTATGTCAAGAAGATGAGAGAAAACAGGATGAATATGGTCCAAACATATGTATGTTTTCTTTAAAGAAAAACATTTTAGACATATTTTCTTTTTTGTGGGAAGAGGGGTCTTGCAAAGAATAATTATGTATCTTTTGAGATATTTTTATCATTTACTTACTCTGATTTGTTAAACAATTTAAAATTGTTTGTTCATGATAAACTTGTGGTTGACCCTAATGTCATTTTTTTTAAATTAAAAAAAAAGTTTATGCATAAATTTCTTATGTTATTTATTTTATCCGAAATGCTAAAGATGCAAGAAAATAAAGAAAACTTCAGGTCACGTGGTGCATTATTACTTTGAGAAATAAATCTTTGTTATCAAACATTTTTTTTATTTATTTATGATACGCGTTTTATGTTGTCCGTTAAGTAAACTGAGCATATATTTCTTTACCGCCAAAATATGGCTGAAATATTTTTCAGAGAGCAGTGCGAATTAGTCCGTAATTATGAGCTATGTAATTAAATGGGTTAAACAGGTAAAATACTGTAGTTTCTATTACAAATTACAATTTTATAGCAACTCTTTTTTTTAATTTTAGGAGCAGTACATGACAATTTTCCTTGCATTGAATGAAATATTTAAGGCGCCAGTAAACTGCAGTATTATTGAAGACTTTACAAAAATAGCCGGAACCATGACGATGGATGAACCCGCCAATCAAAGTGCTTTACGAAAAGAGTTTCAGGTACCCAGTAGAACAAAAATGTAGCAGAGCAAAAAAACCTTTGAGTTTCAAAGGTTCACATGTAATGGAATTGAAATAAGAGTCGCTGGGGAAAATATTTATTTTAGGATTTTTCAGAAAAAATGGTTCTAAGGAAATAAGGATTATTGTTTTTACCTTAAACATTTTCATCCAATACGATCTATGAATTATGCATATAAACATGGATGCTAGAAGCAAGAATTTGTATTTTATTTATATCACAATCTGAGGAAATAAAATAACCTTTCACATTCTATAAGTATAAATTTGCATTGTGTGTAGATCCAATGTTACTGTGTACCATAAGAAAATTACCATACATGTGTATGTGAAAGTGTTATTTCAATAAAAAAAAAATGTTGGTTAAATATTAACCAAAAAACGAGAAATTATTGCAAACTTCTCTCATTCAACTTTTTAGCTTAATTGTTTTTTTTTTTCATAAATAAACATAATGTCTCTGCATAATTTTGGAAATTAGTTTCTTTCTGCGAATAGTATGAAAACGAGTTGTATATATAATAATTTATCTTATAATTTTATCATTTTTTACACTAAGCTGTTGATGAAGGTTAGGTCTATTTACACCGATGCTGACTTTAAGATTGCTAAAGAGCATTGTAGTGATGCATTTGGCACCGAAGTATTGCCATGTAAGTAAACCATTAACAGATACATGTAGTTTTAAAACATTTTTGTCAAGATATAAAATATTTTTTTTCTACATAGATTTCATACTGTGTTTATGTAAATAAATGTTTAGTTCCGATTTTGTCGAGTCTGTCAAAGGATAATCTATGATTCATCAAAATTTACAAAATAGTAAAAAAAAAAAAATGGAAATTCAGAATCTTTTTGGTTATTGTTGTTCAATTGATTTTTTTTTCTCATTTTTTTAATTAGTGGATAAATATATTGTTTATCTTTCAACACCTGTCACGAACCGAGGAAGTTTCATCAATGCGATATACGTACAGGTAAGAAATGAAAGACTCATTGCTGCAAAGTAAATACTGAGCATTTATTTTTTGCAAGTAGCAAATGGACACAGTGAAATTTGCGAGATGAACCTTTCTAACATGCTAACAAAAAATTGTTGAAAATTGAATGATGTTACAGTGTCTCGTCAAATCTTTAATTTAATTTTTTCACAAATAAAATTTAAGATATTTTTATGATTCCCCCTTTCCGTTTATTTCCTTAGTCATTCACCAACAGTTGGGCCTTTATTGTAACAAAATATCCATCGGAAGGGGACGTTGTTGACTTCTTGCGCCTGGTCTGTGAACAAGAGTCCAGTACTGTAATTTGTATGGACCCCCTGCGTGAGATTAAATCGGTATGTTCCTAAAAGATTTATGGGAAATATACGATAGTTTATTTCATTCTCAGACATCTAAGATAAACTTATAACCGAACATTACACTGAACAACCTTACCAATATATTATGATTTTATGTTTTGTGTCTGGTGTTGACATAGTTTTATTACAAGAAAGTGTCTCGAAGTATTTTCCCTTTTGATCATCATTTATTTAAAGTAGTGTATTTCTTTTATATTTTGCATTTTTCGTTCATAATTTTTGTTTTAAAAATCAATACTATTAAGTTAAAAAAAACTTATTTGCATTGCTTTGTTTCAAAATTAATTAGAGATACATTAAAAAAAATGTTTCTTCGCACGTGGAGACTCAGTGGTAATCCAAAGCATTCGTTGTCTATTTTTGTAAACTAAGTATGTCATATATATATATATATATATATATATATATATATATATATATATATATATATATATATATATATATATATGGTTTTATCTCTAGAGTAAGGCGTGGCTACCAAGTCAAACCTCCTCCTTCAATTCAGTCCCGCCTTTCACAATCCACTACCAATCAAAAACTGAGACCGACGTCAGCAGCTCCATTGTTCACATCCGGCAGAAAAATGTACGTACAAAGGCTGGGCCGTTCTCTCTCTCGGTGTCTTTCTCTCTCTCTCTTCGGAAAAAAAAAACAATATTTAACATATAATTCTTGTCTAACAGGTTAGGAAGCCCCGGACAGTGACGATAATTGAGCCAAGGTCTAGCATCAAGACTTCAGGAACACCTCTGGATACTTCCCAGCTTCGAAGTCTGGTTTCTGTTGCACTAAGCGTTGAGACAGAGAGTCCTGTCATCGTTGTCAGCAGGTTTGGCATTAATTATACAAATGAAATATATGAAGATATCGAACTGCATTAAGCCCAAAACTCCGAAAACAATAAAGCAAATAATAGCAGAGAAAACACAGATCCTCAAGGCAGTAGGGATGGAATCATGGATGACTGAAAAGCGTTTTTCCACCTGTATTTAAATATAGTTGAATGTTAATTATAATGACATGTTTAAAATGGAGATCAACTACATTTATGTAATGTATGGAAAGATTGAAATTTGCTTGCAAAGTGTATTAAAGCATAACCTATATCATTTTCTTACTTTCTTTAAACCCTGGTCTGCCATTGTATAATATTCACCTGCATTGATAAGAAATTTGATATTTCAATGATCTACTTTTGAAATAAAATACTGTTTACTTGTAGCGATGGAGCTGCCCTTTGCGGTGCATTTTGTGCTGTACATAACGCCATCCAACAAATTAACATGGACGCAAACGTGGATATTTTTACAACTGTCAGACAGCTTCAAGTTAGAAGACCCGAATTCTGTTCATGTCTTGTAAGACTTAATGGATGTACAATTCATTTCATAACATTAAGGATGACAGTAAAATAGGTTATAAGTCAAATATTCACAAGGGACAATTTGTTATCCTCAGTAATTTTCTTTAGAGTGTCAAATTCTTACACAAATGTTTCTTTGCATGTTAAGAGGATGGGGTGATCAATGAGGTTTTACATTGATGCTTACAGCAACTTTTATTTACGTTTTGTTTGTTTAAAATGTTAACAGCTATAACTTAAAAAAAAATATTTAATAAACAATAACATGAAATTTCTTTCCTATTTAAATGACCAGAATTATTTACATACAACTCATTACCATATTTGTTTTATTGGATTGTTTAGAATTTCATTAATACATGCGTTTTCTTACAGGAAGAATATTGGCTGGTCATCAAGTCTGTGAACGATCACATTCAGCGAGGCACTGAAAACATATACTCTAATCAATAGAAAACTGTCAATACGGGACTTGGAAAAAAAATATAAATGTTTATCACCATTTTTATGCTACAATGATGAAAAACATTGTAACCTTTTTATTTTGTACATTATTAAGTTTACTTGTAAAACTTAAAGGATCATTTTTCATTTGAGCTGATTTATAATAATGTTTTTGTTACAGAGCTAAATTTTGGGATGATGATTTAGCGATAAATGCATATGTTGCTTAGTAAGATTTTGAGACCTTATTTTTGGGGTGAACATGTTTTATAGATGTAACAAAAGTCACTGTTATCATTTTATTGTTTATAATTTATATATGACAAACACATATAGAAAAAAAAATCATTGAAAATAGAATAAATGAATTATGCAATTACTTTTATGTCTTTGCTTGGGTATTTTAATCTATCAATATTTAAAAAATATGAATATTATATCTGTTTTTGCTTTATTGTGTAAACCTTATAAATCATGAAAAGCGGAAAAAACATGTAATATGTTACAAAATAAAAAAAAAGTGTAATATGGAAAAGTTTTTTTATGTATTTTAGAATTGTCTGAGAGAAAAAAGAGTAAATCATAATTGATAGTCTTGCGTAATCTTGCCCACTAGGTCAACATTTGACCTCTGGAAGCTCAGAATCTCCCGTCCTCTTTCTCTTCTCTCTTTCTCTCTCTCTCTCTGAATATACATTTTTTTTATTATTTGATGTTATTTACGAAGGTTGTTCGGAATTCGGAAAAAAATGGAGAAAACGTTTTCAATGGTTGTCTTTAGTGAGTGCACCTGGCTGAGTGAGTGCAATGCTTTAGGTTAATGTTTATTTATCATATTTAACTGCTTCATTAATCTGTTTTGATAGGCAACAATTACAAAATATATACATGTAATACTTGTTTGTGCACAGAGTACAATCATACGGCGCAGAGTAAAAAAAAATGAAGGTTTTATAAGAGATAACACAAGTTTTTTAACACCAGATATTTCATATAAAATGAAACAGAGAGTTTTTTAGCGATGTGTTTTTGATCGAGTCCATGGATGGTGAAAACTTACGGACAAACTGTTATTGTAATTAGAAAAAAATGCTATCACTGTCAACCGACCGTGCATGTCTATTAGTTGAATGGTGATGAAATTTTTGTCCCTAACTTACTATTTGAACTTTAAATCGCATGACTGTGCCAGATTAATTTTTCAAAATTTTATGGGGATTCACGGATCATATTTGATCGTAGAAATCCATACATTCCCTGCGACTAATAATGTTGATGGGTCCGAAAGTAATATTTATAGAAACTTCTCAGCTTTATTTATTTCTAATCATATCTGTCTTTGACCCTGCTCTTCTGTCCGTCTCTTCCTACGACTTTATTACTGTATGTCGGTAACACTTTCGCCACCAAGCAATTTCTCCTGAAGCCTTAAAACCTTTGCAATTTAGCTCTACACGACAACTCCCTAAAGTATATAGAATTCGCCTATTATATTGATTTTGAAGTATGAAGCTTTTGTAGAGGCTAAACAAGACACACTTGCATTTTTGTTTTTTTCTTGTCGGGGGGTATTTTTCGGGGGTAAAATTTTGATAATATAGTACGTAATGAAAGGGAAGCATGAGTGCGCTTGCATGTTTTTCTGTCTTTCAAACATATACCGTATATCAGGTTTCTTCCGCGTCATGTTTTTTCCGCGAATCAGAACCTAAATCAGTATATTAAATTTTCACTATTTCAAAGTCCCAGTGATTATATTATGAACAGTTTATTAAGCCTACATGTAAGAAGGAACTGGATTTTAAATGTAAAGTCATTAAGCTCGGGTGAGATATAGATCAATCGACTTTCACCTCTTCAATTTCAGTAGACCCGCTCAGCTGAGTACACACCTGTGTTGCGTACTAACTCTCAAATCCACAGATATTATTTTTTAAAAATTTAAACAATCATAGGTCATTTACTGTTCTAAACTGACTTGCAGCTCAGGTATAATTACTTTAATAGCTTCTCGCAAGGAACATGACCCATTGTTGCAACCACTATTGAAATAACGACCACTATTGAAATAATTATATCAATTGTGGTTGAGGATGCATATCAATAGCAAACATAGTTCGTAACCACTATTGAAATACGACCACTATTGAAATAATTATATCAATAGTGGTTGAGGGTACATATCAATAGCAAACATAGTTCGTAACCACTATTGAAATACGACCACTATTGAAATAATTATATCAATAGTGGTTTGAGGGTGCATATCATTAGCAGACATAGTTCATAACCACTATTGAAATACGACCACTATTGAAATAAGTATATCAATAGTGGTTGAGTATGCATATCAATAGCAGACATAGTTCATAACCACTATTGAAATACAACCACTATTGAAATAATTATATCAATAGTTGGTGAAAATGCATTCAATATAAGAACAATAGTTTCATCAACTTTTGTCTTATTGAAAGAAGAGTTTTACCGCGTAATTTTGAATTTTTTACCAAGATTTCACAAAAATGGGATTGGGAGTAAAAAATGTATAAATTTAGATTAAAAAATAAAAATGTAAAGCTTAAGAAGGATAATTTCTTTATACTCTAGAAATTTATTATATTATTAATTATATTGTATCTCAATTTTGTCTTTAAAGTGGCATATATGCCCTATTGACCAGGTGTACTATGTATTATTAATTTACCATTTTCAATGAAATCAGACCAAAAAGATACACCAACCCCGGCATCCATATTTTTGTTTTCATCATCAGTTGTTAGATTAAGATTTAGATAGTTATTGAAATAATGATTTAAAGTGATTTAAATAATTATTTTGATAGTTGCAAGGTTCCTCGTCACGACAGGCATTGGCACGGTAAAGATCCTTCACTGCTGAATGGCCCTGAGTGTCGGGTAAAGGTCAAACTTTGAAGTCCTTCACCGGTATATGGTGACGTCTCTATATGAGTCGAAAATGGCCGAATGACGTAAAACAACAATCAATCGACAGTGGCAGATTGATTTTTGTATTTCAAAAGTGAACGTTATTTGAATAGTTGCTGAAACCTATGGTTCTTATATTGAAATGCATTTTCACCCACTATTGAAATGATTATTTCAATAGTGGTCGTATTTCAATAATGGTTACTAGCTATGTTTATTATTGAAATGCACTCTCAACCACTATTGATATAAATATTTCAATAGTGGTCGTATTTCAATAGTGGCTACGAACTATGTTGTTATTGATATGCACCCTCAACCACTATTGATATAATTATTTCAATTGTGGTCGTATTTCAATAGTGATTATGAACTATGTCTGCTATTGATATGCACCCTCAACCACTATTGATATAATTATTTCAATAGTGGAGGTATTTCAATAGTGGTTACGAACTATGTTTGCTATTGATATGCACCCTCAACCACTATTGATATAATTATTTCAATAACGGTCGTATTTCAATAGTGGTTATGAACTATGTTTGCTATTGATATGCAATCTCAACCACTATTGATATAATTATTTCAATAGTGGTCGTTATTTCAATAGTGGTTGCAACAACCCATATAATTAACTAGCTTGTCAATTAGTAAACGGACAAAGAGCTTAAATACCTATTACCGGTATCTTGCGCTTGTCCTCCGATTCCGCTATTTCTACCCTCTACCATATAAGCATTAAGAAATAATTCTACTACAAGAAGAAAACCGTATTAAAATTACGCTGTTTTATTTTCCTCAATTCAGAACCCGTCGCGAACAAAGCGGAAATTGAATACACGCGGAAGAATCCTGATATACGGTATAATGGCAGATACATGTATAATAAGCAAACGCATCTGTTTTTTTTTTCAAGGTCAAAGCATTAAAATAGAAAGCGTCAATAGCCACACCAAAATAATTTGACTCAGTTAATAAATTGTTATTATTTTTGACACAACCCCCATTTTCTCTACATCCAAAAATGTTATTCTAAATAGCTACATGAATTACCTGTATTTATATACCTGAGTTTAGGCTTCCGCCCTTCTTAAAACCGGCTTTCCAATATGTAGCAGCACGAGCTGACTGTCCAATTTTACTGCCAAAGTTTTGTAAAGTTCAAGTTATAATATTGTATATATCGTAAATACAGACACTGACTTCTGAGGTGAGTAACATGTTTTATTTACCTTTTCTTCTCTGTTTTGTTAATTGAACAGTCCTGGGATAATTTTGTTATTTAAACGTGTTTTAATTTTAGTTTATTTGTTTGAATGTTCCTTCGTTTGTACAGTTTGTATGCTCTATAAATATTATAGTGAGTAGTGTTAATTGATTGTATCGGCTCTAGTATTGTGGTATTTAGTTTCATTTTGATTCTAAACAGTAAAGTAACTATGTAAGTGAAGTTACTGTGTGTAAGTGTAAGTTACATGTAGAATAATGTAATTATTGTGTAAAAGCATTTAATACAAGTTCTGTAATGCAGCGCTGTGATGTTGACCCCATTATTATTCCATTTTCGTGTATGGTGGATTATGTGTGTAATAACTTGTATGTAGCTTTGAGTATTTAACTGTGTAACTTAATGTGTTTACAATTGTTGTATTTTGTAGGTCCCGTTGTACGTCGTTTTATTTATGGTGTCAGTGTATGGTGCACAGTGTACGGAGTATGGTGTGATGTAGAAACTTACCGTTGTGTGGACAGACAAGAGCAAGAATACTATGTACAATAAGTTGTCTATATAAATGTGAAAACGTTTTTGAGTTTTTCATTATTTGGAGACCACTAGGAAAAGAACCCGCAACAATCATGACAACGAGCACACGGCGGGTGTGATCGGTCGGCAGGGGATGCTCACTCCTCCATGGCACTTGATCCCACCTCTGATTTTCGGGGGTCTGTGTTTGCTCCATATCCTTCCTTATGGCATAAACAATGTAACCAAAAAGAATTACAATTTTGACAATCATGAACAATAGCTGTCATAATGATACTACCTTGTGGTCGACAAAAGTGTTAAAGTAATGATCGTTTCTCAAAAAAACTCAAATATTCAGGTTCTAAAAGAAAGAAAAAAAATAATTAAGGAGTAGAAGGGTTCACAATGAAGATAAGTTGTTTAATGGCGACATTTCTATTTAAATAATATATTTTTATTTCATAGAGTGCGATGGCAATCAATATGGAACAGCCTGTGATAAGACATGTGGTAATTGTATCGAAAGCAAGGCTTGCCATCACGTCAATGGTTCTTGCGTCAATGGTTGTGACTCAGGGTATCGGGGAAATAAATGTGACCAAGGTAACTCTGACCAGTTTTAAAATATATTTGAAAGATGCGTTCTTTTCTTTGTGATAACTTCATTTTCTCCCTTCGTTAAAAGTTGCAAAAAAAAACATAATTCAAAGTGAAAGAAAAACAGAATAATCACAATTATATATATGGCAAAAATTTTATATTAAAAAATGTTGTGTTTTTTTTTTTTTATTTATTTTTTTTTTTATTTTATTTTTTTAGTGTGTGAGCTTGGATTTTACGGGATTCATTGCAGAGATGTCTGCAGTACATTTTGTAAAGTATCACGTAACTGTCATTACGTGACTAATGTCTGTAAATTTGGCTGTAAAGCTGGAGTGACTGGGCCTGCTTGTCTATGGGGTCAGTATATCAATATTTGCTTTACATAACCGAAATCTCAGTATCAAATTTGTTTTTCCCTATTATTATTTTTTTTCAGTTGAAGACAACTACCGGGCCACATTTTATGGTATTCTGGTACCATTTTGTGTTGTTATCGTTCTGACTGGGCTGTTCCTATCTTACAGAATCAAGAAAAGGTAAGACAGTACTCAAAAAGATACTGCTTTTAAAAATCGAGATATGTAATCTGAAATGCTTTTTTCCTATTATTTTTTTGAAGGATTAAAAAATCGCAAGAAGGATATAACAAGACTTATTATCATTAGAAAGACGACGTGACCCTTCATAAAATTGACGATTTTGCAATTGAAAATATTTACGACAATCAACAACTTTAAGAACTGGATTCAGCTTTCAACTGTGTCACGAATATTTTGTTAATAGAAAGGATTTGCCTGGAATTTTTTTCGTGAAATTTTCATATTGTTTTACATTTTAAGCGGCCATTTCTAATTTTTAATAAGATTTATTACTTTTCTTTTTGTATGTATCTTTTATTCACATTAATTACTTGACTTCTATCAATAGCGAGATGTTCCTTAATAAAAAAAAAAAGCTAACAGAAACAATACCTCATGGTTTAATTTCTTCTTTGAGTAAATAATAAAGTCGAAAAATATCTATTTTGCATAAAAAGTGCTGCTAGAATCCCACTGTCCGGTCAGTAAAATAATTATAACACACATCTGCTCGAAACCTTACCCTATGTATTTTATTTTACACATATGAACCCAGAATTTTCGTTAAACCATGCTTAACTCGGGATTCAAGCAGCACTTTCCAAGTATTTTAGAAGGCGAACTTTTCATATGTTCAAATCCGAACTTCATATGAATTTCACATAATATTCCCGATATTTGCTTTTAAACTCCATTTTACGTATCTTTGTACATACTGTCGTAGCCATGTTCTCATAAATATATAAACGTGCCTAGCATATGCCTAAATTTGCAGCCCTTCACAGGCAATAGTGACGTCTCCATATCAGTAAAAAATTCTGGAAAGGAACGTTAAACATTATACAATCAATCAATCCTTTGCACAGCAAAATATTATAGACATAGTACAAGTTTAGGCGTTTTGCACATTTCCTGACTAGTAAAAATCTAAACCACACGTGTGTTATTTGTTCTAATAATTTTAGATCAATATAGATCACCAACAATGTTGTCAAATAAAAATAACATAAACCGTCTATCATACAAACAAACTAAATTTCAGTGCAGACAATTTCAAAATGTAATTTTTTTCTTTAAAATGTGAATAATAAGAAAAAAGTATTCAAGAAAATACAGTTTTGCCAGTAGAACCAAGAGGAAGCTAATTTGTTGGCGGTTGGCCCATCACTCTAAGTTCCTGATAATCCGAGTTTGAAGAATGTACGCATTATCGTATCATATTTCCTTTCTGTAGTCTTCATACTGTTTGCCTGGCCTTCTTTGTACTTATCAATCGTTTTTAACTGTTTACTTTGCCTCTATAAATGATTAGAAATACATTTATGAGTTGTTGAAAAATGCTGGAGTTGTCACAACTGTGCAAATAAGTACAATTACGAAGTTCAAATAAACAACATACAATTAATCAATCAATTCTTTTAATTAAAGATGTACCTTCATTACATGCATCTCCAAAGTTACCAGAGTCGCAACCAGACAGACAAGTGCAATTGATATGATGATATTGTGCTCCATCCCGGTAACTTCCACACGGCTTATTACAATCCTCCCGAACATATTGAAGTCACACTCTACGAATCATAATCTAAATTATTTTTTTAAATATCTCCTTCTCTCATCAAAATAAAAACATAATGATGAACGCAAACTACAACAAAGAAAGCAAATGCTTCTGATAAAATATTTAAATTTCGATTAGGATAGATTGTAAAGGTTACAGAATAGAGACAATATTTGCTGGAATAATCAATTACTTTCTCAAAGTTGAGTTCTTTTCAACTTCTTTTACCACAGCTTGCCATGCACCCGATTTCTAGTCACATCTGTTTCATTTTATATGGTTGACAATGCAGGTCCTGCAGTTCCTACCATATAGTTTTTCATGTATCTGGCCCGCTGTTTGTGACAAATTGTTTGTTCATTATAGGTTTGGAAGTAGGTTAGATTTATGATTTATCATGTTTATTGCGTAATGATGACAAAATGGTTTTGATATATTGACTTTTTTCAGTTTTCTTTCTCAATTAAGCTATTTTAATGCCTTCTCCCAAAGTAGTAGTGAATCATTATCATTTTTTGACAGGAGAGGACCAGTGGACTCATTTGTATTATGCTTAATCATCTCGATCTTTTCGCTTGTGAAAATAAAGTGACCAATATAACTTATTCAAAAAAGCCAAAACTAAGTCTTTCTGGTTAAAAAAATAATATCGTGTCGTTGTTATTCATATCATGAAAAAAAAACAGACACCACAGGTTCCAGGTAAGTCTCAACTCAAGAAAAATTATGTTCAGCTAGTAACCATGTTCGTGCCACAATGGAATCGTTCAACTTGTTCAACCAGTGTTACTGCAAAAAATGTTATGTTTAAGGTAGTCTGATCCTCATATTGTTAAATGAGCAGTTTAGTAATCAAAAATACTCATAAAAGCATCTCTGAATCCACAAAGATATGTAAATTTTTCCATTGTATTTCTTTAACGTTAAAGATTAAATTAGTCGTATTATATAGGGAAAATTGTCAAATCTCCACTATTTTTATAGGAATAACGAACTTAAATATAAGCAATGCATCTTCTAATTGCAAATTGATCAACTAATATATATTTAGGTTTAAAAAGTGATAGGTATCCAGGCATTCTAAGAAATTGACATGATAATTTTAAACTTATATGGTATTTTCTGTCCTCTATTTCCGTCATATATTCTATAATACTTAGAGTAAAATACTATTTTTATCATTGAAAGACACCACAAATCACTTTTTATTTAAAGTCATGCTTACAAGCATTGATATCTGAGACTGGATTCAAGAAAAAAAATTTTCTCTTAAGCTATATTTTCATTTTTTTTTCCCTTTTATAGGGTACAAGTGTCAACTTTTCTAAGAACTTTTCTAAGACTTTCAAGACCCTTATCAATCGTTTTTAACTGTTTACTGTGCCTCTATAAATGATTAGAAATACATTTATGAGTTGTTGAAAAATGCTGGAGTTGTCACAACTGTGCAAATAGGTACAATTACGAAGTTCAAATAAACAACATACAATTAATCAATCAATTCTTTTAATTAAAGATGTACCTTCATTACATGCATCTCCAAAGTTACCAGAGTCGCAACCAGACAGACAAGTCCAATTGATATGATGATATTGTGCTCCACCCCGGCAACTTCCACACGGCTTATTACAATCCTCCCGAACATATTGAAGTCACACTCTACGAATCATAATCTAAATTATTTTTTTAAATATCTCTTTCTCTCATCAAAATAAAAACATAATGATGAACGCAAACTACAACAAAGAAAGCAAATGCTTTTGATAAAATATTTAAATTTCGATTAGGATAGATTGTAAAGGTTTCAGAATAGAGACAATATTTGCTGGAATAATCAATTACTTTCTCAAAGTTGAGTTCTTTTCAACTTCTTTTACCACAGCTTGCCATGCACCCGATTTCTAGTCACATCTGTTTCATTTTATATGGTTGACAATGCAGGTCCTGCAGTTCCTACCATATAGTTTTTCATGTATCTGGCCCGCTGTTTGTGACAAATTGTTTGGTTCATTATAGGTATGGAAGTAGGTTAGATTTATGATTTATCATGTTTAATGCGTAATGATGACAAAATGGTTTTAATATATTGAATTCTTTCAGTTTTTTTCTCAATTAAGCTATTTCAATGCCTTCTCCCAAAGTAGTAGTGAATCATTATCATTTTTTGTCAGGAGAGGACCAGTGGACTCATTTGTATTATGCTTAATCATCTCGATCTTTTCGCTTGTGAAAATAAAGTGACCAATATAACTTATTCAAAAAAGCCAAAACTAAGTCTTTCTGGTTAAAAAAATAATATCGTGTCGTTGTTATTCATATCATGAAAAAAAACAGACATCACAGGTTCCAGGTAAGTCTCAACTCAAGAAAAATTATGTTCAGCTAGTAACCATGTTCGTGCCACAATGGAATCGTTCAACTTGTTCAGCCAGTGTTACTGCAAAAAATGTTATATTTAAGGTAGTCTGATCTTCATATTGTTAAATGAGCAGTTTAGTAATCAAAAATACTCATAAACGTATCTCTGAATCCACAAAGATATGTAAATTTTTCCATTGTATTTCTTTAACGTTAAAGATTAAATTAGTCGTATTATATAGGGAAAATTGTCAAATCTCCACTATTTTTATAGGAATAACGAACTTAAATATAAGCAATGCATCTTCTAATTGCAAATTGATCAACTAATATATATTTAGGTTTAAAAAGTGATAGGTATCCAGGCATTCTAAGAAATTGACATGATAATTTTAAACTTATATGGTATTTTCTGACCTCTATTTCCGTCATATATTCTATAATACTTAGAGTAAAATACTTTTTCTATCATTGAAAGACACCACAAATCACTTTTTATTTAAAGTCATGCTTACAAGCATTGATATCTGAGACTGGATTCAAGAATTTTTTTTTTCTCTTAAACTATATTTTCATTTTTTTTCCCCTTTTATAGGGTACAAATGTCAACTTTTCTAAAACTTTTCTAAGACTTTCAAAACCCTTTAATCTTATGAAGATGACTAAAATGAAAATTGTTGCAAGAAAACATTTCATTTTCAAGCTTCATTTTGATGCATTTCAAATTTAATATTAAGTTTGGGAGTTATCCTTCCTGGCAGAAGATCGGATATCCTTAAGAATATATCACAGTATATTGCTAACAACAACGATCAATGACATTTATGATAGAAAAATGATAATCTTCGTTCTACAAAGTTTACCAACGGAGATCGATACAAATATTTGCCTAACAGCTCAAGATCGAACGTATTTTAAAGAAGCTTTTTTCAGAGTTTTTCTTTACAAAAAAGATGGTTTCTTATAGTGGTCAAACGCTAGCCTAAGGGTCTTTATATGAACTGATTGGAATCCAAACAATACAAAAAAGCTTCAACATTAGGTTTTGTTTTATTTTTTAAAGTAAATTAAAGCCGTCAATTTTCAAGAGGTTACATTTAATTTATGTTTATATTGTGTAACTTTTTTTGTTAAAAACATTACTTCATAAATGTACAATGGAGTTACCTGTGCATGTCTTTAAATATAACTCATGTTTAGGTGTTGACCCTTTTTATACACTGAATCATAGTCTCTCCATAATGATTAGTCAACTCATAAATCGATAGCAATATTTCTTGGTTAAACATTCTCGAAACTTCAGCTATCTGTCTAAAAATGACAAAAATGTTTTGCTAGTGACATATTAAAAAATGCTCTGTTCAATTCAGATATATTTTACAGGCTACCTATACATAAGATAAACTGGCAGTTATGACAAAAGAACTTATTACAGGTTTATTTATAATAGGTGAAAGTTCATTTTCATTCTTAGAAATAAACTTATGTAATTTTCCATAATTTGCTTTTTGATACATGTACAATAAAGAAGCATTGACAATGAAATAAATAATTTTTCACAAAATAATTAAGAAACGAACCTGACTAAAGAAGGGAATGTCAACTTCATTTCTCTAGCATACAGAGACCAGATGCTGACTTTTAGAGCTCTACAAGATATGTACACTGGAGGAGTCAGTCTTGGAACTCCGAAACAGTGAATAAATTAAAGACATTCCAAGAATACCTCCTTAAAAATGAAATATTTTTTGGAGCCTGTATTGATGACAATTCACAAAAAACTAAAAAAAAAAATGTATAAGCATACTTGAATACTCTTTTATGAAATTGCAGTGTTAGTTAAGTCAAGTCACTGGTAGAATTGGAAACCAATAGTTCTAATAAAAGGACAAGAAAGGAAGATTAACTTTAAATGCTGACATTTTTCAACTACACAACCGTTTCTTTTTTTTCTATCATTTTATTAAATTTGTAAATTACTCAATTTTCTTTACAAAGTTTAAAAATTTTGTTATTTTTTCTAAAATATTTCTTTTTATGAACAACACATATTATTTCTACAAAATGCAGTTTAATGCAATGAATAACTAGAGGTACTGTGAGCAATGAGCTCACTAAATGATACCACCCGCCTCCCATAATGTCGATGTGTTGCTATATATTGTTTTACGGTAATGTGTAAAGAGGAATAACTCGTCCAATCAAATGTTATCCAGAAGCTTCTATTATGTGACGTCATAGGTAAACAAAAAATGGCAATGTCCATGTTTTGCTCTGGGAAAGGTAAAATACGTGTCGAATAAAGAAGTAAAATAGGAGATGCACAATGGCAATATGTAATAAAGATTCTGTGAAAGTTTCATTAAATTTCACTCAGTAGTATAAAAGGAGTTGCGGATAAGAGAAAAAGCGTAACAGACGAACGGACCGACATAAAGACGGACGGAATCCGGATCACTATATACCCTCCCGCCTTTCAGGCGGGGGTATAATGAATATCTGTTGTTCGTAGTGTGTCAGGCTACATAAATTTTTAAAAAAATATTATTCTTATAAGGTAATGAAAGTATATATATTGAAAAATGAATTTGTATGATCGCTTAGATATGCTCCAAAATATATTTATTTAAATATGTCCCAGTAAAAATATTTCCTTGTCTCTACCTGCAAGTTGCAGTGTGTACACATATATTCATTAATTTTGAATATCACTTACATGGATTGATTAAAGTTTGATGTTTGAATGTTCGTCATTTTCCTTGGTTTCTAAAAAAAACCCTCTCGTACATGTAATATATGAAGGTGATCTTCTTTCTTCTTATTGAAAATTCCTTCTTTATCTGGCCAAATGTTCCATTAACTCTCTCTCAACAACAATGCAGGAATTCTTTATTGCAGTTTTTTCGCGCCAGCCGTGTAATAGTTTAAATAAATTTGGCTTTTCAATGTCGACGCATATAATATGTCATAAACAAACAACTTTCATATAAAGAGCTTCTTCTTTAAAAAAACTTGATTAACATTTTCCGGCTAGGCTATATCTTTTTTCTTGATGTCTTTCTTTAAACGATCGTTTATGCTTCGGTCATTAGGACTGCATTGAACCGAAAACTTTTTCTCAATATTTACAGCATGTGCAATACAGTCTTTAGAAGGTAATGTACATGTATGCACATTTCACAAAAGTTTCTTGACTTTTAAGGTTTTACATTTTATTTCGAGGCATTCTTTGTGTTATTTTTCAACACAAAAAGTCGGAAAGCTTTACAAAACGCTGAATGAAATTTGTTATTATTCGATAATTCAGATAATATCGATTGTATCGATAATTCAGGTATTAACTATAATTATTTATATTTTATAATTATCTTGTATATAAGTATAACTGAAATCTATTGAAATCTATAGCATTTCATCATAAAATTAAAGACAAGAAAAACAGAAAACAAAGCAAAAAAAAAATTACTTTCAAAACAACTATTCCCTTGCCATCCACTTTTACAACCACCGTTACAAGAGCCAGTCACGTGATCACATACTCCAGTATCTTACAATATGCACTACAGTTCTGCTCACAACCCAAGCCAAACTTTCTAATGTCACATTCCGTAAAGTTAAAAAAAAAAAAGAATTATAAAATTCTCTAATATTTTTTCTGTTATATTTAATTGCCATGAGTATTTTTCATACAGAGCACCTGTGAATAAATCGTTGTTTTTTCTTTTACTATTAAACTTATTATAATGACTTAAAAGTTACATTGCTAACATTGTTTTATTTTTAGATTAACACGAAGAGGAGATTTAATGTTCATTTCTGATTGAGAATTTCCGAGAATCTTGTGACATCTAATTATCAACTGACAATCACACAAGTACATGCACAAAAGTTCTATTCAACCAATCGAAATGTTTGGAAAATTTAGGGTTTGGGGTTATATTAAAGTGAAAATATTGGCATTGTATTTTAATTCTATATGATATTCTAATAAGAATTTTTATTTCGACAAATACTGAGTGACTTGATAACTACAAAGGCAAAGTAAGCTGTAGAAGAAAATGAAACTAGCAATTTCAGAATTTTTATTAAATTAAAGCATGGACATTATATATTTTATATGATTTTGGACGAAAATATATTCTAGAAAATCTCACAGTGTAATCGAAACCTATTTTCAACAAATCCATGGATGTTTAATCCAAACACTACCCTAAGTTTCGGTATTAAATAAAAAAAAATGTAAATAAACATTGCTAAAATGACTGGTGTAAAAGTGTATTAGTTAGTTGTAATCAACAAAAGATTAATTTAAATCAGTATTTTAAACCAAAAGTAATATTACCTTCCCGACAATCCAAACCTTGCCACCCACTTTTACAACCACCTTTACAAGAACCAATCACGTGGTCACACGCTCCAGAGACTTTACAATGTGTGCTACATTCTTGTTTACAATCAAAACCATAGAACCCTTCGTCACATTCTGTAAAATTATTTTGTTTCATTAAAGGTATTTCGATAGTTCGTTCTAAACATTTTTTTTTCTTTACAAGGTACAAGTGAAACATATATATATATATATATATATATATATATATATATATATATATATATATAGATATATATATATATATATATATATATATATATATATATATATATATATATATATATATATATATATATATATATATATATAATTTATATATATATATATATATATATATATATATATATATATATATATATATATATATATATCCTGAATTACAATTTGTTTTGAAATTCTGCTACAGATTGCTCACGAGGAACTTATGGCAAGAACTGTGAAGATAAATGCAGTATTAATTGCGGTATACCCGAAACATGTAACTGGAAAAATGGAAGTTGTGTTGCAGGATGTAAGCCTGGTTGGGAGCTTCCACAATGCACTATAGGTATAGTTATTGTTTTCTTTAAAAAGGTGATTGTTATATCTTCAAATCAATATAACACAATTGGTGATATATAAATTGTGGGGTTAAAAATGTTTAAAGATAACCCTAACAAAATTACTTTAACTTTATCTAATTCAATTGAAAAGAAATGTTCAAAGTACGTTAAAGCAATATCAGCTGCAACTGAAATGTCGGAAATTTTTGATGAAAAATTGTGATTAATTAATTTGATAATAGAAAATAAGAACATTTATCAACTCTTGTCGTTCAGATTTGCGATGGAAGACCTTTTTATATGCTTATATTGAAGCAAAATCACGTTATTGTCGTCCTGTACTAAACTGATTTCTCATATAAAACTGTACATTCCATTGCACAGAATTTTTTTTTTTGGAAAGAAAATCAATACTTTTTTTTAGTCTAACTCATCATAAAGGTTTAAATTACATATAAAGCAATCGTAACAGCACATTTTAACAAAATAATTTTCTGAAAAATGCAGCTCATATTGCTTTAACTGGAAATGTTTTCATTTTAAGAAAAAAAAATTATCAATTCCTTATAAAACCGAATTAAATAAAATGTAATCAGAAAAAAATCTAAATACTAGTCCAAGATCTAAAGGTAAAATAGGTAACGAAATTTAGTTCCCCTTTATTGATTTTGAGAGAATTCTAATTTGAAAATGTTTACCTAACTTTTTTTCTCTAATTGCTTGCAAATATTAAGCTGATGTTTTCTTAATGATCATAAAATTATGCAATTTGTTCTCTTTTTTCAAATTAGTTTGTACCAAAAATAAGTATGGAATCAACTGTAGTCAACCTTGTGGAAATTGTCGAGGTTCTAAATGTAACCACGTCAATGGAAGCTGTCCGAATGGATGCGCAAAGGGATTCAAAGAAATAAACTGCAATCAGGGTTTGAATTTTTCTGACGCTAATTGATGAATAAATTATTATTTTGGAAAATAGTTTTTCCCTCCAAAGTACTATCATTATCCTCTTAAGGGGTTTTTTTTGTATCTGCTGTTTGACACATTTAAAACAAGTGAAAGAGTCGTTTAAGGACAAATCTTGAGGTAGAAAACAAAAATGTACATCTTCAAACATTTGAATTCAAGCTGCAAAATGGAGGCATACCTACGCAGTTTCACTTGGTCTTTCGAATATTCCTAAATTTAGAGATTCTCTCTATTTTTCTTTCATACATGTATTTGATATGCAGGAGAAACTAGCGACTCTCGGGGAATCACTCACATGAGTAAAGATATCGATGTGCAAATTATATTTGCTTTAGATTATTAATTTTGTCTGCCATGTTTCGCTCAAAAATTATTCAGTATCCTCCGCATACATTAAATATGATATGAAATGGAGCACCGTATGCAGAACTGTCGGATATAACTGCAGATCATGCAAAGTTTAAAAATCGACAATCGCACACAATGTAATAAAATATAACAACTCTGGAGCTCATCGATAGTTTTTTTTTGGGATGTATTGAATCTATGAAGATCAGTATTCAAGAATCTTTTAAACTCTATGTATTTATATTGATTTTTAGGTTGTAGTTTTGATACTTTTGGGTTTGATTGCAAGGAAAATTGTAGCACAAGCTGTGTTAACAAGACATGTGACTCTGTCAGTGGATTTTGTCCTATGGTTAAGGTAATATTTATTTTAATTGTTCCTTAATTTATCTTCTCTCAGTGGATTATTTTTGTGAAACATAAACTCGAGGTATTATTTCAAAATCTAAATTTGAGATATCAAATTAAGAGTAATCAAAACTTTTATAAGCAGTTTATGGTTAGCATTTGATAATTGTGTTTATTTTTCCAAGAAGGGAATCGTATTTAAAACATGTCGATGCCGACAATTAAAATGTAAACGTTCTAAATTCACCAGGTCAAACGAACATAATTTATTTATAAATAAAATTCAAAAGCACTTATTATAGGAAGATTTTAGCGTCAAAAAACTGTTGATAAACGTTATTTGAATATCTTAATATATATAATATATGTCATCTTGCAGATAAGCTCAACAACGGTTATAAGTAGTATATTTGGTTCAGTCATTGGAGGAATCTCTGGACTCGTCATTGCCTGTATTCTTATAGTGGTTCTCATTCTGGTCTTAAGAAGGTACTTTTTAATCCAATTTAAAATCATTTTGATACCTCTCTACTCAGTCGCCCTGCGTGCCGAGTACAGGACAACATTTGCAGCACCGTCAAGAGGTGGCACCTCCATATGAGTAAAAAAGGGACATTAAATACGTGTAATATACATTGAATCAAATCAAGCCTATGTTTTTCTTCTGTTATCTTCTATCGTTGAATGTATAAGATATCCTTCGTATGGTGGCATGTATCTGCCCCCTAAATGCAGGATAAATTATGTTAACATGCATGAAAATTATGTCAAAATGCAAGATAATCATGTCTACATGCAAGATAATTATATTCACATGCAAGTTTCAAATTCTTGTATGAAAATTTGTTTAAATATTGTTAAATCACTTATTTAAAACCGTATCTAACATCGTAGATGCAAGGTGTAACATAATTTTAACAAGATGTGATTTACTATGCTAAAATGCAAGCTAATTCTGTAGAAATGCAAGATATTTATGTTTACATACGAGTGAATTATTAAGACATGCAACTTATTTATGTGAATTAACCTGCAAGATACTTATGTGAAAATGCGAGATAACTATGTAAACATGCAATATATTAATTCAAAATGCTACTTATTTATGTCAACATGCGAGTTATATTTTTACATACAAGAGAGTTATGTCAACACAAAAGATAATAAATCACATATCAGCTTATATACCTTTCTTGTTGACATAATTATCGTGCATGTTGACAAATAAGTCCCATGTGGACATCATTATTTTGCCTGAGTACATATATAAGTCACATGTTGACATAATTATCTTGTATGCAGATATCAATAATTCGCATGTTGACATTAACATCTTGCATGTTGACATAAACATCTTGCATGTTGTCATTAATATGTTGCATGTCTAAATAATTATCTTGCATTTTGCCATAGATATATTGATGTTTACATAATCATCTGCCGTGTTGACATAATTTATCTTGCATGTAGGGCACAGAAATATGCCACCATATTATTCGTTCTTATTTTCTATGTTCTTTCAAAAATCAGCAGTAGTGAACAAATAAAAAAGTAATACATGTATAGTGATATGATGTTTGTAGAAAAGAACTAAGCTTTTGTTTATTTTATTATGAAAAACATTTTATGTTCCAGGCGCAGCCTACAGGATGATAGAATAGGAACAAATCAAGGACCTAATAACTGTAGGTTTCTGGATTCCTTCTTTGTATATATTTAGTACAAATTTGAAACGTTTGAATAGCTTACTAATCTATTTCAGCCATTAAAGGAACTAGTGAAAGAGATTACTCAACTGATTCAAAACCTCATCCTTCAAATGAATATAAAGGAAGCAAACAAAGAGGTAGCGGGAAAGGGATCAATTTCAAGCACAAGAGCAAGGGTAATGAGGCAGATGTGGATGAAGATGAACTGATTCACTCGGAGAACCCTTATGGAGACTTTTATGCAAATGAAACAACAATTCGAGACATACCTCTTAATCAACTGGAATCGGTAATAGCGGAGAAAAGAAAGGATAAAGATGACGGGTTTCAGAGAGAATATGCTGTAAATATATTTTATTATATTTGTACATGATTTGTAATGATAAACCTTATAAGGATATAAAAAATAATAAATTTTATTTGTAATTGCACTGATCATAGTCCATTTTAACCGTTACTGGCAATGTGTATATAGATTTAGAAGTCGTTTATGGAATGTATCATTATTTTTCATTGCATTGCAGACATTGCCATATGGGGAATTACACAAGTGTGACGATGGAAAGAGAGAAGATAATATGGTTAAAAATAGATATAAAACTACTTTCCCCTGTAAGTGCTTAGAAATGTGTTAAGGACCACATTAGGAAGCAACCACATTTTTGGTTACATTTACGCTCGTATGTTTGTCTTTAGTAAGGAGTTGTTCAACATATTTAGTAGAATGTTTTAATATTAGGGTACTCCGATCCTCAGCCAGGTAGAATGACTCATTAATTTATAATTGAATTCAAAAAGTATTCTTTATTATTATTGCCTGACGTCACGGCGTCAGGCAGTATAAGGATTGATATTTCCAAGATCCGAAAATGTGCGACCATATCTAAAGAGCCAGATTTTGTGCAAGCTGATTTACATTGGAATTCTTTACCTGCAATTTAAAAGAAACAGTTTTCAGAAAAAAGAAAGATATTACTGATGCGAAATACTGCAGTGTTTACTTCCTTTAATCTTTTTGCATGGAACAGATTATTCAATATGATCTGCCGTTTCAACATGTCCGTGTATCTTTTTTTCTGCATTTCTATACTACTGGATCAGTCCATTTATATTCTACGAAAGGGGTGAATCGCTCTTTTCGCGCCAAATGTCACTAGAAAGCTATCTTCGCGCCTTTTCCTTGGATTGTTCTATTGTATGAATGGGTGTGCTAACTTCTATGGAATTAAATAAAGTTTGTCCTTTTGACTTCCTTCTAATGCTTCAGA